TACTTCAGAAGAGCTCAAAATTATTAGCCAATCAAAACCTTATCAATGAAATTCAGCCAATCAGATCGATTGTGGATCGGTTTGGTCGGCGCGATTCGATTGCACCCCCTCCCCAAATTTGTATCAAATCGACAATTTGTAGTTGAACAATAAATAATATGTATGTGTCCAAACCCAAATCAAGGTAACTAAGTTAATGTAAGTAGCTCACAAAACGGAGGAGAGCATTATACCTTGACGTTGCTCAAGAACGGCGACTGGTCCAGGCGTGCGGCGTCTGTCGACCATTCGTTTGGTTCTTGGTGTTCTTGTAACAGCTCCGGGAGGACGTGTTCGTGCGCGGAGTGGTCGAACGATAGATCGAATGGATGGATGTGGGTGGCGGCGTGGTCTTGGATTAGAGCGTCGTTGGCAGGCGCCAGCAGCGCGTCCGCCGCCGAGTCCGACGATGTTATGTGGGTCGGTAGCAACAGAGGCTTGACCGATACCGATGCCGTCGACGAAGCGAAGTGTAGTTTAAGTCCACGACGCACTCCTACGAATGCACGGACCGCATGTGCATTGGTGATTGGAGGAGCGGGTGGGACTACCGAGGGCAAAAAAGAGGTGGCAATGGGGGCTAGGGGGAAAGGTCTTACCTGACGGTGGGGTGTCGTGCACGGACAGCCACTCTAGGACGAGCCCAACATAGGCTTTCACGCTGAGGCTGGCAATACGCAGCACGAGGCCTAGACAAGGATCAGGATCTCTGGTCGATAGCAATCGAGAAATATCCTGAATACATCAACGACACAAGCAGATGATCAATAAGTACCTTTGACCATGACGGCCAAGATGATGTCGGCCAAGTTAGTGGAGTCCTCGATGGGTTTGAAAAGTGTGTTCAGTGACGTCGCGTCGCCGTTGTAAGTGGCGATGTCTGTAGCGATGTGACAGGTGGGTTAACGGCTTGCCACCACCTTGCCCGCACCGAGCTCCTAAGTTCCTGGCTCATGACGAACCCTAGCTAATGCTTGCCTGGGAATGTGTCTCAAGGGCAAGTATAGCTTAGAATCGCTAGCCCAGTGAAGTTCCCCAATGTCTCAACCGCACCCGCATCCATTGTATACAAAAATGCATATTAGTGTAGAAGTAGTGAAGTAGACTAAGAAGATTTCATAGTGATGAGGATTAAGGAGATCTTTGTAGATCTTCAGTTAATTCATTGTGCATTTTGCCCTCAACTACACACGCTTCCTCCCG